TAAAAAAGTATGGGCAAAAGTAGTGTTGACTAAAAATATATTGGTTAACGCAAAGTACAATTAGATTTTTCCATAGTAAATCAAGTTCAAAATTGAAACCAAATATCTAAAAGAATAATTCATTACTTATTAAAATATACATTCTAACAGCTGTAATTTTAAAACCTTATTTTGAGTTAACTCTGCTTTTGGCTATTTTAGATCTGTATTTAATCCGAAATTAAGAGACAAAACGACATTGTGTGTATGCAATATTTTTAAATTTGCTATAATTTACGCCATCTTCAAAACATTTTGGCGCATACATGTGTTTTGTTCTTCTGAAACACGGTCGTCCATTCAATCGAACTCGATCTCTTAAACCTTGCATGACTCGAAATACATGCATGCATTTGTTTCTCCGTTTTGCCCATCACTGAATGCTGATTGGCAAATCTGATGATTGAATCTCAGCTGATATTCGTGCCCAGAACCGGCGGCGTAGTATTTACTTATTCTGACTCTGTAAACTGAATAATGTTAGTACTAACGTAAACACTATGCGATGTGATGAAACAAAAAAATAATGCACTAACTGTAGTGCCGATCTCAGACTTTTAATAAGTTTTGTTTCTCTTATTTTTTTTTGTGTACACTGGCTGTTGTGCTCGGTTGTACCGGAATTATTTTTGTCCCGAATAAATTTTTTTACACGTTTTTCGATAAATTAATGAGAGGGAGTGACAACTTAAATAATAATGACAGTACAGAACTGAATTAAAAAAAAATTAATTATATTTTTTCCTTCATATATTTAACAAAATTTATGAACATGAACAAGATGACATGTTATGCCACATAATTTGCTCCTTATATTTGCACTTATTAATGTGTTTACATATTATATTAATTACCGATTATTCTATAACTCCATTTAACGTATTAAGAAGTTATGTAATACATTAAATATCTACTAACACAAATCCATCACAATAATTTTAGAATATCAGTTGGTTTTATTCGTTCTGATTACTTAAATCTGTAAGGTTGTTAAATCTTCAACTATAATATCTTACTTACATTAATTTATATTAAAATATACTTTAAGGTTGATTTGTTGATAAAATCTTTTAGTTGACAACAATACATATTTAGTAATCGAAGTAAAATAAACGATGTTTATATATAACATATATGTGTAATAGTCATATGTATTGTATATATAATTTTACATAACGAATTAATCAATTTTATTTTCAATTTGACTAGATTTACATTTCAGTACTACCTAAAGAGAAATACAGTATTATATTAATTCTATCATACAGAAATTTGTCTCTTATAATCCTTATTTTGAATTCAATTTATTGCATGTGGTGTTTATTTTCAATTATTCTTTAAATTGTGATCACTGGAAAATGGTCCATACGGCATATTACGTCTTTTGAACCAAAAAAAATAAAAGTATATAATGGAAAACGTATTACGTAAAATGTACACGCTATACAAAATTTATATTTAAAATATTATTGAAAAAAAAACACGTTTGTAAACATCATCCTCGAATAATTTAGGCAAATCGTTTTCTAAAATGCTTTTATATATGTAATAAATAAAAATATACAGGGTTATTTTAAAATATACGGTCAAATTTGCAGACATGGTTCAGAACAAGTAATGTAGGCGAATCGTGATGAATATTTCAAACACTGTCTTTTTATTTTTTAAATTCAGAATGCGTGGTAATGCATTTTTTTGACTGATTGTCATTTATAAATATCGTACATCTACTATTTTACTACGTACGGACACATTCGTTAGTTCGCTCGGTTGTCAAAAAGTTGTGAATTGAATTGCACACAGAGGAGCGCGCGTACGTGCAGTTGTTGATCATAAATCACATTCAATTTGGGATAATTTCAAATAAAAGTAGAAGCCTTTATTACTCGGATTTTGAAAATCTGCAATAAAGGTATATTATTATTTATACATTTTTACTTAAGTATAAAATTTGGCTACTCTTTGAAAAACAACCCTGTATATATTGTGCATTAGCCACAGAGATAGTAATAATAAGATAATAGAAATAAATTAGCGCTCGATTACTTTCAAAACCGATGTCGCTACATCTTAACACACATGCATTAAGCGACCGATACCTGCAGCCGTATTATAAACATACGCAATGTACAATGATATTGAATGCTTCACATTACATTGCGTGGCGAGTTTGTCAACGTCGCGTGCGTCGTGTATTACGGTAGAACAAAAGCAGCAACGGTAAAAAAAAATACAAAATAACAAATGAAAGTTTACAAAGGCAAATATCATAGTAAAGTATTCATGTAGATGTAAATTAGTTAAAACAATGATAATTAGTAAATAATCAAGTTACCGATGAAATGTAATGCCTTAATTAGTTGACTTACAAGTCCTTGATGAGCTTTTACAACTGATTATGCTGAGTTCACCATTATAATAACATAAATTCATGTACGACGTTCCCCGCGCAACTAGATCACAAAATGGTGAATGATGTTCGTCAACACATATAGCGGCGAAAAGGTCAATCGTCTATGCTACTTCTATTGTTTTATTATTACGATTTCTGTGGTATTAACATACATAAATCATCCACGACCATTGAGTTATAATGTACTACGTACTAGAGAAGCTATTCCAAACAAAAATTGTGCGCTACTTCTATGTCTTCGCGCATGCGCGGTAATAGTAGAGTCGCGCATGCGCAGTTGGTATAAACGCGCTTTGCGCTTGCGCGGTCAGTTTTTGTTATTATAGATTATACGTAAGTAGAATGGTCAGTATGTAATAATTGTTTATTTATATTGTATTGTTAATTATATCGAGTACTTACAATTTTTTAAATTGTTTTTTATTTTGTATATGTGCTAATTTAATATAATATTACATAATATTATGTCAGAATTACATTTTGATGATATTGTTATCTGAATATTTTAAAAGGTATCTATGTCAAATATAAAAAACGTACTAAATGTATGTTTAACAAAACTTATTAACATAAAATTTAAATTACAAATATATTTATTTAAATTAGAATCATAAATGTTGTAAATAATCGTTCATAAATGCTGGGCACGCGAGAGTTAAAAATGGACGAATTTATTCCACTTTGACTTTGAAGTGGAAACCTAAAAATAAAATAAAAGAATAATAAGCAGATTTAAACATGAAAAATTTAGCTTAATTATAATAATTTATATGTTTCTACAAAAAAAAATGTGTAGTATAATAATATATTCGTCCTAAACTTAAGTACCCACAGAAATGTCGCATCTGAACATATTAATTTCATAATCTATATTCAATGATACGAGATGGCGTCTTAGGAATAATTTGCTTTATTATTAATTTATAATACTTCTTTATTGAATAAGTATCTTATTAACCGATGAAAAGTAATTCCTTGGTTTTTACTGACATTTCTTGAATTATTTGTGCAATATCTAAGTACACAAGACGGCATATTTTTATCAAGAGATTTTTTTTTTAAATCAACACAACACGTGACAACTCTACAAGCGCCTAGCGAGTGACTGATTAAAGTGCAGTGCATGCACCGCAGTTGAGTGGAACAGAGTAGCTGAATGCAGTGTCTCCTCTAGTACGTAGTACATAATAGCTCAATGTCCACGACATTGTTATTTTTAAGACAAATGATCTTCTCAATATTAATTAGAAACATTTTTTTTGATAATATAACGAGACAAACATAAGAAGTAATAAACATGCACACAAAGAGAATGTTTACATAAATATAAGGCCTCATTTTGAAAAATCGTAAGTTCAGTTAAAATTTGTCAGATTCTTGTTGCATTATTCATTGAACAAATTTATTTATGTATGGCATTTTGATCAGTTTGATTTAATTTTTTTATTAAATATAAGAAAAACTAATTTTTCATCTAATTTAAATAACCCCTACAAAAATTAATGCATGGAATGCTACAAACACTCAACTCTGAGCAAATTACTTGTGGTTCATTATTTACAACTCACATTGTTAAGAGGATAAATAAATTAATTGTATTAATAATAGGCTAATTCACATTTTTAATGATTTCTTTCCGTGTGTTTGTCAAGATAAATAGGAAGAGTTGAATTAGAGTTGTTATTAGTATAAACACGATTTTGATAGAAATATCAAAATTATTACCATAATCATGACAACCATATAACTTGCGGGGCAATGTAAGCATTCACACTTTTTTTATAATTATATTAACTACTTTTTCTACGAGACTCTCCAAGAGATCAATTCCACAACACGATGCTATTATTACAGTAAATAATATTTAAAAATAAGTTTCCGCAACATATGTAAGTATTTAGGGAATATATTAAGTAGAGGTGAACATGAGCGTTTATTTTAGGAACTTTTTTATTTCCTGTTACTAAACTTGGAATATTACAATAACATAATTATGTTAGGATGGTTGATGTATTGTACTGTTGATTGTTTATATTTTTTTATTGTTTAAGTTATAATATCATCATTAGTTACGTTATATTTAGTTTTTTTTTAGTTTTATGTTATGGTCGCATTAAATTCTTTTTTATTTGCAAGATAAAGCGATTGTGCGTGTGCCATTTTGCTAGTGACTTTCCCATTTTTATAACTTTCATATAATACACAAATATGATTAATCTAGTTAATCATATTTGACTACTTTTTTTATAAGAGTATTTAATAAGGACTCAAAATATCGTTGACTCATTTGATTTCACTACATTGATTAGTAGATACTATTTAGAAGTAATATTTCGAGCATAAATTATTTTGAAATCACAAACAAATAGTTTTTGTAAAGTTTCTTCGAAAAGAGACGACGCTTATAAGATACATTTTCCTTCCTTTAAATCTAAAGGTCTGTGCTGTTTTGTAACGGAGAAAACAATTTGGTGCTATTTGGTGCTTGCATGAATTACTCTTCTCTTTTTAAATTAAATTAATCATTAATAATTATTTTTCGGTTGATTTATTGTGAGTTAGGCGGCCGCAGTACAGTGATGCAAATCGATCCTCGAAGTATCCGAAGCAAGTCAATGACTTCGGGAGTTTTCATTGATGTCACGTTTTCATCGTTGACCTAGGAAGAAACAGAATCAGTTGAAGGATATACTCCTGGTATAGGACACAAAGACATTTTACGACTACTGTTAAAATGTACAAGTGAAAAATAACTTGAAAGAAAACGCTTCCTTCATTTTATTGCACAAAAATTGTCGATATTGTTGATTAGAGACAAAATTCCGTGCCTTCAGAACACCTCGTAAATTATTATTACTTATAACAATTGGACCTCTTGAATTTCATCTTGATCTCTTAGGATCACACTACACCTTTTTCTGGAAATTCAATGTTTTTTCTAGATTTTTTGAGATAGCAAATTATTATAACTAAAAATATGAAGTGCTCTTAACACGTTTTAAGAGAACCCCACAAAATGAAAAAAAAAAAATACATGTGACGCCCAAATTTACACCTAAAATTAAAAGAGCATTTGCCATAAACTGCGATACCATCCGTTGGATTACAGGATGCGAAGCATTTCATCTAGATCTTTGAGGTGGCAACGCATGATTTGTTTGCGTATAGCGTTGCAAATGACAAATAGGTTTAGACTTTTGATAGTCTGAAATAAACAAAACAATGGTCTGCAGTACCTACCCTTTTCCTAACAGATGGAGTGAGAGTTCGTTTATCACTGATTGAGTCACGCTGCAACTTCCTTATGGTTGTGGCACGAATGGGTCAGCTCGAACAGTGTAGGACCATGCTCTCACATCATACCAGCGTGAAATAACAGCTTATAGCTGCTGTGCTTCGTATATGAGCGTAGAGAACCAGAGACCCTTTTTACTGTAAATGAGGCATTCCACCTTAGGAGTGAATATGCGTCTTCATTTTGATTCTTACTGACGATAGATGTAGACGTGTTTGAGCCACGGCGTTCACTTACCATAAGGGAAGGTTGATACAGCGCACTATCTCAGAATAATAGAAGTCAATCAGTCTTGCCTTGAAGACGTAACACTTCTACTCTTTCTCCTAGATTTTCCATTCCTTTCCTTCCTTCTCCTTCTTTACCTTCTACTTCCTTCTCCACCATTATTCCTACACAACACCTGCTAAATCTTTCGCATTTTATAAATAAATATTGCCGTGTGGTGGCAATGTAAGGGCAGTTTTCACCCCATATTAGTATCTCTAGCATATATAATAATAATCTATGCTCCATAACTTTAATTTTCATCATAATATGGACTGTGAGCTTTTAATTCCCGATACCTTCCACACCATCTGTATGCTTGGCGGTTCGTAACTGTGCGATTTACTAGGAGTTTTCTTTCTCGTACGACTTCTTTGTCGTGTCGTTTGTACGACGTAAGGACCTCCAAAAAACGAGCTTACTCCTTTTTAAAAGACCAGCAACGCATCTGCATTGTTCTGGTGTTGTAGTTGTTCGAGGGCGGCGGTTGATACTTTCCATGAGGTGAGCTGCGGGCTCGTTTGTGCACATGTGTGCAGTTACATGTGGTAGAAGTGAAACCTTCAGAAAACTAAACTTCGAGAACAAAATAGGAGTAGAATAATTATTACCTTATATAATTGTAGGGCTTATCTAATTAAATATAAATAAATTACCTATTAATAAACACTGATCTGTATTCTAGCACATTCTCTCGCAAGCCAAATCCTGTAGATGTATATGTTTGTCTTTTTTCGGTGTCCCCTTTATGTTTCAACGAGTTTCAAATGACAACGATTTTAAAGTTTTCAGTTTAAAAAATGTAACAATGGTGACGCGGCACCTGCAGGATGACGTCGCCGGCGCGCAGACGGCCGTCGCGCGCGGCCACGCTGTGGCGGTGCACGGCCGACACGTAGCTCTGGCCGGACTCGGGGTGGCTCTGCACGCTGAAGCCCAGCCGGCTGTTCCACCCACGGTTCAGCTCCACGCTCACGATCTGCGCGCCACCGTTACATATGCCACATGTTACTCTATCCACTATCCATACTTGTCAAATATGATTACTATCGTTATATTTATTAGGCAGAATAGAATATAATAATTTTTATTTAAGGGCGGGTATTAAGCCAAAATCATTTACGATTTCACCTTCGTGTCTTAAACGAAGGCCGCGGCGCTGTAGCACGGCGGACGGCAGTACTACGGGCGACGACGACGGACAGCGCGAACGCAAATTTTTCTTTTTTTTATAAGATAGGATGACAAACGAGCACACAGTCCACCTGATGGTAAGTGGTTGCTGCGGTCCATAGACATCTACATCTATCCTCGATTACAAATCAAAATTCAGATGCGTTGTCATCCGTGAGGATTTAGGCGGAATGCCTCGTTTCCAGTAAAAAGGGTCTCCGTTTCTCTACACTCACCATACGAAACACAGCAGCATTAAGCTACTATTTGACGCTGATATTCTGTGAGAGCGTGGTCTTTCCGCGGTCAACCCATTCGTGCTATAACTATACTACTAATATAACTGCAGCATGGCTCTACCACGTAATTTTTTTTTCATTTTAATTCTATTTCATTCTTTATTCCTCTAATCATCTTCGTAAGCTGTGTGATGTATGTAAAATATTATAGTGGCTGAGTAAGAGAATTTTGCTCGGAATTAGAAAATAATTAATAATTTTCCTGATACACGTAAATTTGTAGGTAAAGTAAAACATTATCTACATACCAAATTTCACTCGAATCGAACGTAAGACACGTTTCCGATAAAACAGTTATGTACAAATAAAATATACATAATATTATATAGATACTATCATCAGCGCTTCTTTTCGGGTTTTGAGATGCGGCATCAGCTGATCGCAAGATCCCGCACTTTATTTTTTAAATTAAGAGGTGGCGACGTACGATCACTATCAGCACAATATCAGGCTTATTCGCAAGAATACTCCTATCTGTGATAATGGCTCGGTTTCAGTAGAGCCTGGCGCGGTCATTTTCGAGCACGGCTTTTGGCAAGTACTTATAATAAGGCAGTTTCCGGTCTACGAGACCATATTTCAGAGCGAGCTCCTGGTGTAAAATTCTGGTTACTAGGTTGTACCTGTGCAAGTACTCAAAGTTAAAAAGCGCCGAACAACGGGAGATGAAATGCCTAAATCACCCCGATGGCGACAATCTCGACAGATGTCGACGGTGCCATTCGTTAGTATGTATCTCTGATAGTTGTTGGTCTTAATAACCTGATCCTGTATCGAAATGCCAAGACTCTCAGTTGCCCCCAAAGTGATCACCAAAACGTAGTTAGTGGAGGGAGGCAAATGCGTCTACGAAAGGCTCATGTAGAGCTTTGTAGAACCTCCCGTAGAGCTCCTTCTCTTCATACGGTCTCCCGGTCGCTAAAGCTGTGTACTGCTGGGCCATCTTGCTATTGCTCGTTCGCTAAGGATAGAGGGGTAAGCCCTTTATCATCCGATCATTCGATCTCGTCAGGAAGTAATTACCGAGGCTGCACACTTGGCGATTGATGTCATAGTAGTGCAGACTTTTCTATCCAGGGCGTTAAGTTCAGTGTGAGTCAAACTGAGGATGCCAAAGGCATACATGAGTTTGTACTCATGTATACATGTGCATGACTCAACCGTTATATGCATGTGTCTTATTCACACCGGACAAAAGGCTGTTAAACACTTTGGTCAAGCGTGCATAAAACACGTCGCAAACTGTTTCATACAAGCCTCATCGATACGATATTCTGCGACATACCCAGATATCGGTATGTTTCAGCCTCGGAAAGTGCTTTAAGCTAATGGGCATAGATAAGTCTATGCCCTCAGAGTTTGCACCCCTTCCCCTTTCAACATGGAGGACCGCACTCTTATCCATTTCATCATCGCATCGGTGAGATAAGACCGCGACCACGTTTAAACTCATTAAACCAGTTGTAAACAATGGCACGAGATGGGGCTTCATCGTGAAAGGTCAATCGAAGTATCATAACTTTCTTGTTGACTTAAATGACATCGAAAGACATAAAAAATCATTGTACGAAAATGTTCTCGCGTTAAATTCGTGCTGACGTGACACAGACAATTTTCAATTTGCCTCCAAATCGTAAACAAGGGACAAATTAATAAAATACATGGACAGTAATATTGAAAAAGAGTTCCATTTTCAAAATTTGAACTTATTTTTTAATTACTTATATCGTTTAAAAGTGGCCAGTTAAAAAACTTTCAGCGACTACTTCGTAAAATCCCTAAAATCCCTCTAAAAGGCTGTCTATGAGGGAGGACTTTTTCAGCAGTAGACTTTTGATTTTTGTTCCAACACCCCTACAAAGTCACTGTACAAGCTAACTACCATGTTGTGCTGCTTTCCCGACAAAAATGCGAAAAACACTCTGTACAACTGCACAAAGTATTAACAGTGGCAGGGCCTACTTACTTCATGATATATTATACGTTCTACGCACGAGATTTATCGATCCGAACACTCACTCTGTTTGACTGAACTATACAGTAATTCGTATACCTCACTTTGGTGTGGCTGTGGCTTAGACATTCAATCAGTGTATAAGTGTTCGGAACGGCGCTAATAATACCATTATTACACACATACATAATTCAAACTGTGAACCTAGACGGAAATAACAGTTTTGAAGTCAAGAGAGCTTAAATAAACCCATAACAATTCATTTTCTTTTACTTTATTTTTTATTTATTTAAATATTAATAAATTATGAAATAGAGTGCTTGACATCGTTTGTAACAGTTTTGCAAAAATATGTAGGTAATAAAAAGATAATTCATCAAATTATGAGCAAAAAAAAAAGTTTTTATTTCTGTAATACATGGAAACATTTTTTAAACTGGAAAACGAAAGTTAATGCTTTTACATAACAGAAACGAAACGTTTTTAAATATATTCTGTATTTTGTCTATGCCAATAGATTATGAAGGCTATTTTTACGATAAAATAGCCTGCATTTCAAACATTGAGGCGAATCTGTAGAGATTAATATTGAATACGCACATAATAATATTAATGTGTAACTTAAGTTTTGAGAGGAATAGCACAGACAATATACAGCCACCGGCTGCTTTTCTAAATGACATTTTATTAATAATTGCAGAAAATAATTAAACAATTAAAGCGTCATCTGGAAGAAGGTCCCAATTCATACCCATAGACAAAATAAGTTTTTTATAAAATCGATAGTCAAGCCTGGTACATAATATCGTGGAATATAGTCCCAATATATAATATTAAAGACAAAGGCTCAAAAATAGCATTCAAAGTCAAAGTTTGTGGAAAAAAGTCCCCATAATTTTCCATTTTACAGTAACATTGAAATATCAGTTACTGACATCTATTCGTGGATCCTTTGATCGCACGCATAAAAGGCGTGCAAAACCTGATGGAAGGACAATAAACGTAAAAACCGCGAGCTTGCGGAGGGGAACTAATTAACAGAAAAGGCAAAGTTATTCTAGCCAGGAAAAGAAGTTATAAATATAGGCATCAATGAAATTGTTAATTGCTGTTCTAAGTATAAATTTACCACGTTGTGAACGGGGTCCGTCAACACTCACTGGACCAGCGCGACAGAAAAATTATTCCATAACCTCGGAAATGAGAAAGGGCCTGTGCCCAGTAGTAAGACGTATACTCGTACAGGCTGTAAATTGACTAGTTTGCTTTTATAATAAAATTAAAAACATATAAAGATATAAGAGAGACGTAGAGCAAGACGTCTGGACTGGCCAAAAAGCCTGTTATTAACATGAAATAAATATAAAATAAACATTTATTTATTTTGTATTACAAGGTTTAGTAAGAAAATGTTATTAAACATTTTCCAATTTAAGCAAATGAAAAATATAATTTTATTTTTATAAAAGTTAAAGTTACAGCTTATATACGCCCCACTCCTGGGCCCAAAGTCAGCCGCGCTGTCCCAATGCGTGTTGGCGAATTTCACATGTCTTAGAAATATTTTTTTTTTATAAAGATACGGATAAATCATACCGTAGGTTCATTGTCAACATATTCTACTGGCGGATCCGGTTGAATATTTTCTTTTTGGACGGCTTCAACTTCTTTAGGTTTAGGCTGCGCTTCTGGTTTCATCTTTCGTTCATTGTCTGGTGACAAGGCGACACCTTTCCATTTCTTCAAGCCATTGCCTGTAAATTAATATACATATTTACGTGAGTTATTCTGATGGTTTCTATCTGATGATTTACCATAAGATGGGCTGCTACTTATGGTTACTGCAGCCGTGCAGCCCATTTCAAACAAGAAGGACTACAGATGCGTTGTCACCTCTAACCGGCCACACACTCGTCGAGTGGCATGAGAGTAGCGAGGAAAGTAGGCAGAGACGTACTGGTAATGTTTCCACAATACTCGTCATGCCGCACGTCATGCTCCTCGTCATGCCCATCGCTTCCTGTTTTGTCGGTTTTGTGGGCGCGATTCAAAGGACTGGCAATATGAGCGAATTTCGAAGGAGTCACATGGGCGTTGTATATCGTCACTGCTACATACCGTTGTTGGTGTCGTAAGAGGCGATAGAGGGGAACCAAAACAGGAGATGTTTTATCTGTTTTTACCTGGTAGAGCCATGTCCCAGTTATATTATAGTTGTAGCACGAATGGGTCGGCTCGACCGGGGAAGGACCACGCTCTCACATAATACTAACGTAAAATAGCAACTCAATGCTGCTGTGTTTAGTATGGCGAGTGTAGAGAACCGGAGACCCTTTTTAGTGGAAACGAGCATTCCATCTCAGTCCTCAGGGGTGGCAACTCTTCTGCGTTTTGATTCTTAATTGAGGATATATGGATGGAGGATATTTACATATAAAATTATGATGAGCAGCAGCGTCTTGCTAATAAAAACTGGAGTTGCCTGGTAAGCGTGGCAACTATTGCAAACATCCTTCAATGAGTAACGATAATTATACTATGTAGTACCCCCGCCCTCGCGACACTTGCCGCAATCCGCGAACTCTTTCTCGCTCGCTCGTTACTTCGCCCGGCCGTTTTCGAATTGACGTCAACAAAGATAATGCGGTGGATACATTTTTATTAAATTACGTACAGCTCGCGTCAATCTTTTTGGAGCCACGGAAGTTATTTATATCGGAAGTAGTCTTTAGTGTAAGTTTCTGTGTTCTCGCGGGTCCGCACAAAATGGATCGCCGGTCCAGATGCGGACCGCGGTCCGCTATTTGGCGACCCCTGATGTAATATATATAATAATTACATAATAATTATAAAATATACAAATATTCATTAGCTAACTTAAGTTAACTATAAAAATAGATTGGAGGATTTTAAATGTGTACTTGTATAAAGTGTGTTTGTGTATTTTATCCGCATATTTTAATGTATTTCTCACCATCATCTTTGTGCCCATCTGAAGTAGCTTCACTGCTAGAAGTATGAAGTACAGCACTCTGATAAGTTGGATTAGAGTGCTTGAAGCGCGCTTCGTCGCTCGATAGCTCTGCGGGCATCGATACCGGCTCGTCAGAGTCCACAGGGAATACCGACTCGGAGTACCTCTGCTTAGTCGTGTCCTCCTGGTACACGTTAGGAGCATCCAGGGTGTCGTTGTCCAGGTTATTTAACTCGTATCCGTGCGGAGGTACTGAAATTAGGTAGGTACGAAACATTTCAATTTTGCGCAAACAAACTAATTTTGTAGTTGAAGTGTAAAAATTTGATATAAGTGTTTAGTTTTCACTAACTTTAACCGAGCGACTACAAAAAAGTTTTCTGATGATGCATCTTCTGTTTCTTTTGAGCCAATACATTTATGTCAAAAATAGTTTTGATGATATTTAATGATTAATTTTGAAGTATTTTTATACTTTACAAGGTAAGGTCACACGTAAATGAACGTTATTATGTATTAAAAGCATGTTTGTAAATGTTTTTATTGATAGATAAGCATTGTGAAAAGCAAATTCTAACTTTGTGCATTATTTGAAAAAAGAAATACCTACTTGCATTACATACTTAAACATTGCTTAAAAATATTATCCAGTTGAAAACTAAATAAGTGAGTGAAAGAAACTATTTCATATTTTAAGTGTCAAATTTTGAATACAAAGGATACATGTGAAAATGTAATTGAAATATGTGTGAAATGCCTGAAATAATAATCTATGATGTTTAATATAAATGTTAGTATGTCGAGCTACTAATTAAAAGCATTTTTCAAAAATGTATAATTATTTGATATCATATGAATACAATCAAGAGAAGGTAGCCTTTTAAGTAAGTTTTGTTATTCTGACAAAAATGATGGTAAAATATCTAAATAGTGTTCGACGTTCGACATAAGGAATACTGGTTAGTGTTTAGTGGTTAGAATGGTAACCATTATGAGTGATATAAATGCGAAGGTGCAACACTCAGACTGAGATATAACTATGCCGAATGCACGAATTGAATTAGTTTTCTTTTTTTCAGTTTCTCACGAAACGCTTTTGAATTGCTTTCACGTAATATACATAATATATTTCTTTTTAAAAAAAGAAAAATAACTTCTTTGATAGTCTGTCTCTTTTCAATGCCTAAAAAAGTATAGAATTAGTAGACAATACTTAATATATCAAATACAGTATTCATCTAATCGGTATTCAGATTTACATACAATTTTGTTATCTACTGATATAATTTTTGTTTTAACTGAGAAAATATTTAATATATTAACGTATACAATTGATATATAACAAGCATATCAAAAACGTGTCGTAAATAAGAATTGCACATTAAGGGCAGGAGGCATTCACACAACTACGTGCAAGTATAGGTTCGTAGTTGCATGTTTCTATCTACAGTATCCGATAGACGATCTATTCGTTGTTGCGGATTAGTTAGAGGCGTTCGACGTGAGCGGATTACTGATAGCGTGGCCGACAGAGTCTCACCTGTCAGGCTCAGTTTTTGTTTTCTACGAGTGGGCGGAGATGTGGGGCTGGCGAGGCTAACAGTGTGCTGGCGTTGCGACCGCCGCGATTTCTGAGCGGTCGGACGAAAGCCCGTGTCCGTGTGTCGCTCGTGCTCCGAACCGTCGACGGTTTCGGAGTTCACCTTAGTATGTGTCTCTAGCTTAATGTCGAAACTTGGAGCATCTGTGCGAAAACATCTAATCGCTTAGTGCGTTGTGTTTGGTTGCAATACAAAAATGTTGGTAATTATGTCCGTGAAAAATGACTTTAGTCACTTCTTTCTCAAGTTCAATTTCACGAATGCCATTATTATCTAGAAAAAAATATGATTAAAATTACATTTTACACACGTTATGACTGCCGTAGATAGCCGAATAAATTCTTTTAATATTGCTTCAACAATAATCGTGTTAAAATTAGTTGATCTACAAATAGGTTTTTTGAATTTATACAAAATATTCAGTTTCATGTAAAAAAAATATGAAATATAATATATTTTGTTACAATTATTAAAAATATAAAATACCTATACAATATTTAACTAAAATCCTGTTTAATTTTACGGAGACCGCACAATCCATTTCAGTTAACAGGAGCACATTTCATAGCTATAATCAAACTATGGCTGAATACGTGTTTTTAGTTTAATGTGCGCGAGAGTAATGTGAATCAATTAAGCACATAATAAACGCACGTTGGCTCAGCGACTGCAAACAATTTGATTTATGTATTTGTTAGATGTTAGTTGCAAAACGTGCACTGCGGTTACACTATAGGCAGAATTTCAAAAGGGAAAGGCGATGTTCTATATTTTATTTTTCTTATTTATCTGTGTATTAATTTTTTGTTAAACATTCTTTTTCACATTAATCATTCATTAAAAGTAATGTTAACGACACAAAAATAATAAGTTATAAAACTACATACTTTAAACCGTGTCAAATAGTTATAAAATATTGAAGTATTTTTTGTAAATATACCTAACCTCATAATTGTTCACTAGATTACAAATAAGAACAAAATACAACTAAAATATTAAATATATACGACAGGACTCTCCCTCTCTCTCATATACACAAACAGAGCACTAGCGTAAAATAGCAGCTTAATGCTGCTGTATTTCATATGATGAGTGTAGAGAAGCTGAGACCCTTTTTCTTGGTAGGGAGGCATTCCATCTTAGTGGATTAATCGGGGACAGATGTAGATGTCTATGGGACGCAGCATCCTTTTAACATAAGGTGTACTGTGTGCTCGCTTGTCACACTTTTTCTATAAAAATCGAAACAAGGTCACGAGAATTGATAAGTTAGTGCGCTTTTGCTCTCTTCGGTTGCATCATCACTTACTATCCAGTGCACATGCTTTAAATATTTTTAAAACATTTTGAAAATACAATTATTCGAAAAAAAAAATTAAATGAGTTCCATTTTTAAATTTCACTCTACATTTTTATGAACTAAATTGAAATATCGTGTTTCATTGAAAAATGAATCTGTGTCGGGAACATTCACGCGCGATGATCTTTTACGATTTCAAATTGCGGAGAAAAATGGTTGGAAAGAAATTGAAAATAAATTTATTTCTAAATAAGCGGTAAAATTAAAAATTTTGTACAACCGACTTCAATATAATTAAAATGAAAGCATCATCAATGTATTCGAAGTAATTTAAATACCCATTTTTAAAGATAACTCAAAAACTACTGGTCAAATCTTGATTACCTAAATTTATATGGGACCACACGAGAAGCACCAGCTTTCGGATAAAAAAGAATCATCAAAATCGGTTCACCTAGAGATAAGTTCTCAGATAACACACATAAAAAACAAACAGTCGAATTGGATACCTCCTTTTTGAAGTTGGTTTTACCAACCGTGTATCGCTGGTAACACATTTAAGTACATTAGAATAATCTTGAGAGATGAAGAATGAAGATGTTGGTGGTGTTACGGAAGGAAACTTGCTAGTAATAAAAAATAACTGAAGAGAATAGGCAAATTACGTATGTAGAGTTTAGCACATATTGTAATTAGGATTAGGATAAGGATAAATTCACGAAATCTATATGGACATCTTCGAGAGAGGAAGATAGTTTCGCGTTGTGTGCCGCGTGGAATTGAGTCGTGACATGATTACTAAACCTATAATTTGAAGCAGGCTCGTCTCGGCGCGTTTACACGACATTATTACAGGTGATGAATTTTGGATGAAATCGAAGTGGTATTAATTCAGAATGGTAGACTACTAAATGCTTGCTGTATTCACTGCTGTGAGCAACAAGCCACATAACAAGTCTCAACGGGCTACTGCTTCACCATTAGATCGTACCCGAGCACTCAGGGCTCAAAAAAAGGGGATTCCTGGACATCACACCGGCTAAGCTTTTGGGTCACTATTCTTGCAACCCAAATTTGGTAACGTGTGATCTCTTCTCCCACTCAAATTTCCTAAAAAAATTTACAGAAAGGGAATACAATTTTCATTGCCAGAAGATGCTATAAAAGATAAAAACATTCGAGCAAACTGTGTGTTACGATAATAGATTCCGATGCTATGAAACTTTGTATAAACGCCGCCGGTCGAGATTTCTTTAGAAATATTAAAAGAACGGTTAAACTGTGAAGCCTTTTTTAGTTTTAGAAAACTATGTGAGTAGTCTATATTTAGTGTTTTAAATTTTTTATCGACGCAATAAAATTTTCAAAAACCGAATAAACCACTACATGCCCAAAATGAATTTTAAAAATTGGTTGTTCGGCCACGTTTGACGATAGATAGATAGATAACTCTTTATTGCATTTGAACAAAGTCATTACAATAACGGAAAACTTATGACTACAAACGGCGGTCATATCGCTTTAAGCGATTTCTGCCTGACAAACCGAACACAAAAGGACATTATAATTTTATATTTTGACGGATAGGTGCAACGTGCAATATGAAATAAACATGAAAAAAAGTTATTAAGAATAATATTTATAAAAAGATATTAATAATATATACAATATTTAATGATTATAAATATATATATATATATATATATATATATATATATATATATATATATATATATATATATATATATATACTTACTTATAATATATATACATAGATATATACATACATATATACATATATATGTACAATAATTTTAATTTAATATATTCAAACATATACTGCAGAGAAAATTTAACAAAAAAAAAATCAAGTATATATGAGAAGAGAAAATACATATAATTTATTATTATGACGGGAACTTCAAATAATACTCCTTGAGTAGTTTTTTTAAAACATTGTAAAGAATGCGCTTTCTGAATGTTAAGTGGTAACGAATTCCAAAGTCGCGTTGCTAGTGAAGTAAATGATGATGATGTGATATAAATCACAGGGTTTTTTTGGCTAGTCTTTTTAATAATTAGGTCTTTGATTTCATTTGTGAGCTAAGGAGCCGGCGGATGCTTAAGTTTAATTGGTCGTAAAGGTGCATGCTTTTCGTAAAGCTGCATTAAAATGGAATTTAAAAGACGCACTTGTTCGTTAACGCAAGGTCCATCAATTATTGACCAGTCTATGCTGGCAGCATCATTTTTAAGACATTCTACGACCATTTTAGCAAAATTACGTAGCAATGTAAAGATTACATTTTGCCTACGATATATTCTTTTAATCCGGCGAAATTGAAAACTCTATACCTATACGATTGTCTGTTATTCCATTACAAGTTATAAAGATCAGGTGTGTACACAAGTAAATTATGAACGTGCCGGGCTTACTTTAATGAGCACACTCCAGTTAGCTTATCTACGTAGTACAACACAGAGGTTGTGCTATCCATTACCTAAGTGCTCAGTAATTGGTGGTTGCTTATTTTCTTTTTAGAATAATTAAATCTGAATGTAGGTACTTTATTCTAATAATATACAAACTTCTATTTTATTATATGATTATTTTCTCTTAAATAATTAATTTACAGAATAAACAGATAGCAAATTTTATTTTTAGACTGAATTCTGTTTCATTATTTTATTGTTTCTTATAGCTGGCCAAAATTATATTTTAATGGATTATTTATTTATGAAGGAAATAAGATCATCTTGAATAATTTAAACCGATAATATAAAGTGTACATACTTAGAAATTCATTCAATTGCACTCAAAAAATGACAACCTCTCATTTCATCTTTAAAAAAGAAGAATTATTGCGAGGTTAGAGAACTACTCCTCTTATATTTTTTTATATATTTACCTTGCGATGTTCGCATTCATGGTATATAATATGTGATTAGACTAAAAAATAAAATCGGTTATTTATTTCATCATCATATAAAATGTTTTAAAAAAACTGTCAAACTGTCAGCTCAAATCAAAAAAGAAAGACAGACAGAGTGCTGCGTACAATTAAAGTGAAGCCGAAACCATGCTCCATACATATAAATATTTGCAACCAACAACATGGTTTTAGGTGCATATGTGTGTGTCCAACAGTGAATCATCAGGTGCTGTTAAAGGAAGAAAGATGTGAGCATGAGTCATTGAGTTATAATGTACTACGTACAGTACATTATAACTCAATGGCATGAGTGCATTTCAAGAAGTTGAGCATAGTTTTAACGTCACTTTAATTGTATGCAGCACTCCTACTTTTGGACTGAGGCCGACCTTTTTTTTTTAAGAAGATGTGTCCTGAATTACCAATGCTTCTGTACCGTGTAGTTTGCATCGAGAAGAAGGTAAGTAATTTGCGACAATGCTGTGAAGCGGAGGAGAGTTTAAAGCTGTACGAGCTGTAATGAACACTGGAGCGGAGAATGTTGAAACATTTTTCCAATGCCACCTTGAACCTTATGACGCTAGAATGGCTTGCAGGACAAGCGACCTTTTTTTCTTAAGTTCGCAGTTTGTTCGGAAACTCATAACGCGATTTATTTGTCGCCACAATGAACACGGATTAACCAACATACGAAGCATAATTTAGGCGAAGTTTCTAAACGTTACTGTCATTTATAGTAGACCTTTACCATAATGCGGATATTACATGCATTAGGGACTCCCCGGGATCTCACATTTAAACAAAAATCTTTAAGTTATTTATTATTTAATTATAATAAATTAAACAATATTTTAGAGGCTAAAATTGAACGAACTATTTTTGAGGAATTTATAGCTCAACAATTGTAAAACCGTCAAGTTGTCCTCTTACTCAACATACTTTGCAAGGTGTTGCACAATAACATTGCAGAATAAGTATCGCTGGAAATATTATAAAGCTGGAGTTCTCAGCAAGATACAATTTTTATAGTTCGTTTATGAGCCTTTTGAACACTAATTTCTTCTACGAAGTAAGGAAGTTAATTGGTGAATAAGTATTAATATTCAGATAAAATCTTTAGGCGGTTATATACAACAAAAATATTAAATTAAGACTGTAAAAGAATATCAGATTACAATGTAATATAATACGAGTGTGAAGCCATTAACTGCAAGTACACACGCAATGCCAATGCAACAAAATTGTAATATTTGCAGCAATATGTGTTAAGATAGTACATTATAGTATGGTGGCTTGAACTTCGTTGATAGGGAGATTTTTTTTAACAATAACGCCCAACACATTTTAATCTTACGGCTACGCTACGCCCAAAGTTTATTCTAAATGTGTGACAAATTACAATTATTAAAGATTAGTGTAAAGTTGTATTTAAAAGTATAAAGATAAGAAACAGTCTTGTGAATAATGTCGAACATACCAGTAGGATGCTCGTAATGGTTGGTGTCCTTAGTGAGCTTGCGGAACTTGCGCGGGGAGAGGCACGGCGAGCGCGTGCCGTCCGTCGTATCCGGTGTAAGGCGCCGCGCCGCCAGGTCACACAGCATCGACACTGCTTCAGCTCTGAATAAAAAAAAACATAACTACTCCAGCTATGCTTAAATCTTGTTACAATTTATGTACAACAACATTGTGTTATGTTTAATTAAGACTTTATTTCTCGATAAACTATTATTATTGTTCATCATCATCATCATCATCATTACAGCCATTCACAAGCTGCTGAACATAGGCCTCCCCCAAGGTATGCCACAAAGCACGGTCCTGAGCCACCTGCATACATCGACTTCCTGCATGTCTTACCAGGTCGTCACTCCATCTAATGGGGGGTCGCCCTATACTTCGCCTACCGATACGAGGCTTACCACTCGAGAACCTTTTTTCCCCAACGGTTGTCGGTTCTTCGAGCTATATAGCCGGCCCATTGCCACTTCAGCTTACTAATTTGGTGGGCTATGTCGGTCACTCTGGTTCTACTGCGGATATCCTCATTTCTAAGCTTATCACGCAGAGAAACCTCGAGCATAGCCCTCTCCATAGCTCGCTGAGCGACTGTGAGCGTCCTTCTACGGCCAGTAGGGAAGGACCACGTCTCGGTTCCGTAGGTCATCACTGGCAACACGCACTGGTTGTACAACTTAGTTTTCAGGTTTTGAGCTATACTTGACGAGAAGATGTGTCGTAATTTCCCGAAGGCATTTCATTATTATTATTAGATAGTATTAAATGCTTTTGCTTAGATTACGGCAGATTCGAACTCATAAGTTTTTAGTTTCGTACTCTCTTTATTTAACATAAGGCTACTCAGCTCTATCAGATCTCATACAGCACTATCTATATAAGTAAACTTTTTTTATAGAATAAAGGTGACCCGCGAGCACACAGTCCACCTGATGGTGGGTGGATGATGTGGCCCACAGACATCTGCATATATCACCCAGTTGTCATCCCCGAGGACTAAGATGGAATGCCTCATAACCAATAAAAAGAGTCTTCAGTTCCCTACACTCATCATATGAAACAGCTTCTTCTGTTTCATACCGGAATTCTGTGAGAACGGCGTCCTACCCCGTTCGAGCTGAACCATTTATGTAGCCATAAAACTTACTAATATTGATTTTTTTAACTCTAAATTGGCTCACTCTTGACCTTCATCTAGCTCGAAGGCAAAGATGAGGTCTGCGATGGAGAGATGGAGCGAGTTTGCCCAGAAGGAGCCGGTTAATACGCACCTTGAAGAGGTTAAGGTTATGTATATGCACTCGGAAAACCAGACGCCGGCAGGACATTCCACTCCCTGGCTGTGCGCATTATAAAAGATGACTTATAGCGCTTAGTACGAATATTTGGAATATCAACCAAGTATAGATGTTATGGCAGTACGTCCGGTACTCCGACAGAAGAATGGGGATGGTGGTATGAGCTTGTGAAGTTCATGGGCACATTCTCCGAAGTACAGTCTGTAGAAGACTGACAAACGAGCAGCTTGGCGGCGGTGAGCTAAGATGTGAAACTTAGTTTACACAAGCTTTTTTGTCGTCAATAAGTCTCTTGGCTCTGCGTTACTCTGAATCGAGCGCGGCAAGTCGATATTCTGCTGAGCTATCCCAAAGGTGACTACAATACTCCATGTATGTTCTGACTTGAGCTTTATATAAAGTTAGAAGCTTAATACCTAGTTTTTGGCCGCAGTTTGTGCTTTCGACTTATGTTAACGCCAAGGTTGAGGTTCCCCCCCGAACGGGTTCTCGCCTTGTCGTGGCGGGGGGGCTTAGAAGCCGTGGCTTGGTCACCCACGGCGAAACAAAGAGGAACCCATATGGCTGGTCCGAGGTGGAGGGCCGGCCCGAGGTGGCCACTCCGAGTGGGCTTGGGAAGCCCACTTCGGATGTGTGTTGGTGGACTGCGGTGAGAGGTGTGTCCTCCCCACCTACCGCTGCAGCCGAGGTGGAGTCGCGGAGGAAGAGGAGTGTTGGTATGGCGATGCGCCACTCGCCCTATCCTCCGCGACTCAAACGGGGCCGCACCGTTGATGCGGTGGTGGTGGGGCTGCGGGGCGAGAGGATTGTCGGTATTGCGAGGCGCCGCTCTCCCTACCCTCCGCAGCCGAATCTTGGTTGGCGGCGGAGCCATAGACCAGATCCGCCGCTGGGGTCGGGAAGGCTAGTACTTCTAAGTGCTCGTTTTTCCTGGCCCCATGGCCTTTGTGCATCGGACGCGGGGGCGTCTGTTGCACAGACGTAATTGGAGGCCGTGGAGGAAGGCGCGCCATGTGTTCTGGTGCGCCTTACCTGTGAAGGAGAACGGGGAGGAATTTTCCTCTCCCGAGGAGGTGCTGCCATGGGGCGGCAGGCGCTAGTAGGGCCGCGGATGTGTGCGAAAGCGTTCCCGTAGCCCTGCCAATATGCGACAAAGGTGGAACACCATGGGGTTTTAGTCGGTGCGAGTCCGACATAACCCGTCCTTGCCCCCGTGAGGCGGGTATGCGTAGGCATTTCCCCATGTACAAAAAAAAAGGTTGAGGTTAGCACTCAACTGTATTCCGAGAAGCTTGAGATGATCAGTAACCTCCACAGATGTATCTCGGAATGTAGGAGTCAGATCAAACGGACTCCGTTTTGTCGAGAACAAACAGGCCTGCGTTTTGGCAGCATTGAAAATGACCAGAATGTCGTCACCCCATTACATTGGGAGACAAGACTTAAGGTCGCATTTATCCGCTCCACCATGGTCTCTCTGGGTGAACGTGTTACTGCCCCTCCGTCTGTCATCTGCATACACACCAATACCTGGTTGTTGATGTGTAGCAAGAAAAGTGTCGCGGAGAGAACAGACCCCTGAGGAACTCCGGCTTTAATATGCGTTAGGTCAGAGAAGCAGCCATCTATGACTATCCTGATCGACCGTTCACTCAGAAAGTCAGATGTCCAGTTGCAAAATTCGGCGGGAATGATGCTAACACTTGCGTACGACCTTACCACAGGTGTGCGAGAAAATGCGTTTACATGGTCACGGGATATATTGGGAGAGTTACTCGTTCCCCCCTTTCTAATCTGTGCTTACACAAACTCTGCGATAAAAAGTGGAAATAACCATAGGATGCAATGTTAAATACTCGCGGGTAGTCACAACACTTCTAGAACTCTCTGTGCTAAAATAAAAATATTGTGTTTCAGTCTTATTACTGACATTTAAAATGTATACAAGAAAAATACTAAGCAGATAACTACTAAGTAGTAAGTAGTGATTTTTTTTCCAGTAAATAAATATCTCTAAGCAACAAAGAATAACTTTAAAGACAGCAAGCAAATCTTGATGATTTTACGTTAACTATTTTATTAATTTAAAGCACGACAAAATGCGTTCATCACATACAACTATTATCTATTCTAATAATAGTAAATTTTATAAACGTCTTTTTGCTTGATTTTTGCATACCCTAGTCCTACACAAAGCACTTGAAAAGCGTAAGTGCGGAATGAAAACGAAATGTCAGACAATCCAATATATATATATATATATATATATATATATATATATATATATATATATATATATATATATATATATATATATCTTATCTTGTCCGTATAACCATAACATTAGCAATTGATAAAAGTAGCATTCAATTTCGAAAGCGCGTCGGTTTGTTTACTCATGTGGTAGAGTCATATTGCAGATATATTATGTCTGTAGCTTTGAGTTGGTTGAATATTCAAAGGCCTGTAGTAATAAGTATGAATAATCTGATCGGAAAGAGACCGCTCTCTCACAGAATAGCCGGATATACTTTTTGATAGTAACGAGACCTGCCCTTAATCCCTATGGGTGTTAACGCTTCTGCACTTTTTATTGAATAAGGTTAACAAAACGTATACAGCTGGACCTGATGGTAAGTGGATGCTGTGGCCCATGGACATCTATCTTCGATACAAAATGCAAAAGCGTTGTCACCCCTAAGGACCAAGATTAAATGGCATGTTTTCAGTAAAGAACTGTAGAACCAGTTCTCTACACTCACCATACAAAACACAGCAGCATTAAGCTCATATTATTATTTTGGTATTCTGTAAGCGCGTGATCCAAACCGTCAAGCCGAATCATTCTACTACTGTAGAGGTATGATAATGGATGATAAGTTTTCTACAAGCTTGAGCATACAATCAGGTGGATTCTGCTCTTAAATTAGGAAGTTTATTAGCTCATTTTACATTTTGCCTGAAATCAAATAATACTTCCTAATTTTCACGACTGGGCTCAAGCCTGCTTTTCATATTGTTAGAGTAATGTTACCGGTGAGTTTGCAACGCCGCTGCAAGTTAACAAAGTTAACATTTCTTAAGGTTTATTTATTTATTTACTGGGTCACTAACACACTGCACATATATAAATTCCTTCAAATAATTTAACTATTTCGGCATTTAATCAGCATAGTAAATTGCAAACAGTTTAAGTGCTTCCGTACAATGAACTTTAAGGCGAATATCCTGCAACTAAGTTACAACTGTGACTCCCTTTACATTAAATAGCTTTACTTCGATGAAACCATTCAATGACAATTGAATCCTTAGTATAGCATAACGATTCGATCCTCAATATTATATGTTCGTTATAGTATCATGTGACTTGACCATAATGAGTAGCTCTTGTATTAGGTTAGGGTCTGATTTAACTTTATAACGAAATGCATGGTACCTACTAAGAAATTGAAGTCTATCTGTGCAAAGGATTTTGGACTTTACTAAGCCGAATAAATGTTTGGCTAACTATTTTAATTATGTGTTTTAATAAACAAGGTATTTTACATAGCTTTTTAGCTTGACATGTATGTATGTATCGATGTATGTGAAATTTTGCATACCCATTTTAAAATTTTAATTATTGTATTGTCATGTGTTCTAAATGCGACATTAAAATAATTTTATGTCTATGACCTAATCTTCTTACGAGGATCATCACAGATCATGATGATCACACTGTGTTGTTTTACATTTATTTAAACTCTAATATTATTTGATTAGAAGCTTGATGTTTGATCTAAACAAAAATTGACAAATAAATTAGAGTATGTGAGTTTTGATTTGTTGGATAAAGCGTCTCTGCGTCCCACAACTGGGCACACACCCTCCTCATTTCTCAGTGGGTGGTCTTATGTAGCAATTACTTCACCGCACTGCTTCAGTGCGTTTTGATAAACTTCACATGTACTCGACACATGCAGGTTTTACCGGGCACAGATAAGTCAACACGTAGAATTGCAAATAATACTTGTACTGTAAAATTTGGTTTTAATGGACAACAAAATTTTACTGACTGTTGAGATTTGTCCTGATAGCAATCAGATGTCGCCACCGACTGAGAGGGAATGATTGTTTTAACCACTTACCTTAAAGGTGGCTTAGGCCTGTTCAAAGGCAGATCAGAGTCTGTTGGACCTTCGTCCTTAGGTGACATCGGGGACAGCGGCGTTGCGGCGTGATCTCGGTACAGTCGCAGCCGGACTTCTGAACCGCACGCGCGCAGAAACGCGACGGCTTCCGTGTGCGACATGTTTGACATGGGTGTGTCGTTCACCTACACACGAGGAAATGGGCATGATTTTAACAGTATTTGCTACTTTAAGGTTCTTTATTGGAAATTACTGGCTAGCCTGATGTGTAATATATGCCAGGTTAAAAGTACCATTATGGTAAACATCGAAAAGAGATATATATTATACATATAAGAGAGGTTGTTTCGATCTTGCTATTAGAAACCGATATAATGTTTATTTTAGAAAACTGACTCAAGTCTTTGCATCAATATCACGTCGCACATAATTATTTAGTAAGCATTGACGTTTAGCTCTGTCAAAAGAAAAGAATATAGTTTTTTTACCACTACTTTTTCCGACATACGATGGAAACACTGAAAGATCAAGACTTTCTTTTACTCACCGCGACGATCCTGTCCCCAGGCTGTATTCTGCCGTCGCTGAGTGCGGGTTCCCGCACTAAGGCGCGGACGTAATGGCCCAAAGCACTGTGATCCTCCTTGCGTAATGTGAACCCGAGGGATCCGTTCACCTTCGTCATTACTATGTCGAATTCCTGCGATTTTATATGTATATTGATTAAATAAAGCATTAAATACATATGAATGTGGTTGTAATAAGATGAAAAGAATAACGTATGTGTTGAAATATTATAATAATTATATAGAAAAATACGATTTAAAATTGCGAAATTGAAGTTTGAGTTTATGACAAGCATTTGTTGTATCTGTTTAACGAAGAACATTTTGTAACTGTTTGTTTCTTTAATAGTAACAATGTATTATAGGCTGTGTAGATAGATGCTGAGAACGGTTTCATCGAACATATGAAATTAACATCAAACTGTAGCTTCGGAAAAATTTATCAAGAATATGTGACTTAAACAAAGTGCTTATTGAAACATATTAAATTATTCGAATTTGAAATAAAGTGCAAAAATTTCTAAGGCAAGTAGTACAGTGAGTACGAGTAGTAGAGAGAGTAGGCCCAAACAAATCCCCCAACCCCCATCAACATGGTAGCGGAATTAAATGATGATAGACTACCCCAGGAGGGTACCAGCACCCCAGGAGAATCCCCCGCTGAGCATCCACACACCTTTTAAGCCCGCAAAACCTTTTTAATGAATAATGTTTATGAATTCTCTTCACCTATTCTTATGTTTCTCCACTTCTGAGCGTAGCTGCTTAGGCTGCCCCGCGTATTCTGGGGGGGGGGCAAAATTCCGCTTAAGACTACAACTGCTCGGGGCAAACGGAGCAACAAGACCAAGGCGACCCCTGCCACGCTGTCCGTGAATTTCTGCAATATCAGGGGACTTCACTCCAACCTAAACGCCGTCCACTACCATCTCGAGACGGCGAGGCCGGCTCTGCTCTTTCTGAGCGAGACGCAGGTGTCCTCTTCGGCTGATGTCTCGTATCTCTCCTACCCAGGGTACAAACTGGAACATTCCTTTGTGCCTCGGGCTGGAGTTTGCGTTCACTTCAGAGAGGACATCTGTTCTCGACGCCTCGGCAGACTTGAAGGTTCGGACCTGTGCATCCTTTGGCTACGCGTAGACAGCGACGACCATCCGCGCGTCTACGGGTGCCTCTATAGTCCCCATAGCGGTAACGCCGAAACAGACCGACTCTTCGACCACGTCCAAATGGCTACAGATTCGTTACTACAGCAGATCCCCTCCGCAGAGATCGTGATCCTCGGCGACTTTAACGCCCATCACGCCGAATGGCTTGGTTCACGTTTAACCGATCATGCGGGGAGATCTGTTCATGATTTTGACTTGGCATATGGTCTGACACAACTGGTTACTTCGCCTACGCGGATTCCAGATGTGGAGGATCATGCACCTTCCCTGTTGGACCTTCTGCTGACCTCTCACCCGGACGGATATCAGATTTCCGTCGACGCCCCTTTAGACTCCTCGGACCATTGTCTTGTTCGGAGTGTGGTGTCACTCACGCTGAAATCGCAGTTGCATTCTGCAGGCTGCCGCCGTGTTTGGCACTATAGGTCAGCCGATTGGGATGGGATACGGTCTTTCTTTGCACCCTACCCTTGCGGGATGATCCCAACGTTGTTGCGGATTCTGTCACTGATGTGGTACTTCAGGGTATGGAACTTTTTATTCCTTCCTCTGTGGTGCCCATTGGAGGCAAATCTCAGCCATGGTTTGGTCGCTCCAGTAAAATAGCATCAAGCTATAAGCAGGAGTGCTACCAAGCCTGGGCTGACGCATCAGCGTCCCGGGATGTAAACACCAGCGCTCTAAAAAAAGAAGTATAATTCCGCCTCTAGGTCCTTCAAAAGAGTCATTGCCAAGGCAAAGTCAGAGCACATAGGCAGAATTGGCGAGAAACTAGTTCTGCGTTCCTTCTGAAACCCGTGCATTCTGGTCTCTCGCCAAGGCTCTCCAGGGGAATTTCTGTCAGCCATCTACCCATACCATACCGCAAAGGAGAAAGCCGATCTTCTAGGCTCTTTCTTTGCGTCCAACTCGACTCTCGATGACGGGGGGAGTACGCCGCCGACCATCCCGCGGTGTGAGTGCTCCATGCTGGAAGTGCAGTTCACACAGCGCTCGGTTCGCAAAGCACTCCTCTCCCTGGACATCCACAAGTCGAGTGGGCCTGACGGAATCCCCCCAATTGTGCTGAGGACGTGTGCTCCAGAGTTGGCACCGGTTTTAACGCGTCTTTTCCGGTACTCCTACTCCCAAGGCGTAGTCCCTAAAAAAGGCGACCGCTCAGACCCGTCCAACTACCGACCTATCGCCATCATCTCCTTGTTCTCCAAAACAATGGAGTCCATTGTAAACTGCCAGCACATGAGGTACCTTGAGGATCACCAGCTGATTAGTGACCGCCAATACGGTTTTGCAATGTCGGTCAGCTGGTGATCTTCTGGTCTACCTAACTCACAGATGGGCGGAGGCAGTAGAGTCCAAGGGGGAGGCATTGGCCGTTAGTTTGGACATTGCGAAGGCCTTCGATCGGGTTTGGCACAAAGCGCTTCTTTCGAAACTCCCTTCCTATGGGCTTCCCGAGAAATTGTGCGATTGGATCACCAGCTTTCTTGCAGATCGGGGCATCAAGGTCGTTGTAGACGGTGCAAGCTCCGATTGCAAGCCTATTAGTGCTGGTGTTCCACAAAGCTGCGTGCTATCACCAACGCTGTTTCTTCTGCGTATCAATGATATGTTGCAAATCCGTAACATTCATTGCTATGCAGATGACAGCACTGGTGATGCTCTTTACACCGGCCGAGCCAATATTTCTCGGGAAAACGTCTCCGAGTGCCGGGACAAACTTGTGTCTGAAGTCGAGTCTTTGCTGAACAGAGTCTCGGTTTGGGGGCGACTAAATCTAGTCCAGTTTAACCCCCAGAAGACACAAGTTTGCGCGTTAACCGCTAAAAAGAACCCCTTTGTCGTATCTCCTCAGTTTCAAGGCACTCCCCTTGTTGCCTCAGCCAGTATCGGAATCCTCGGCGTCGACATATCGAGTGACGTGCAGTTTCGTGATCACTTGGAAGAGAAGGCCAAATTGGCCTCTAAAAAGCTTGGAGTGCTCAGCAGAGCGGGACAATATTTCATGCCGGCACACCGCCTGCACCTTTACAAGGCGCAGGTTCGGCCGCACATGGAATACTGTTCCCATCTCTGGGATGGGGCTCCCCAGTACCAGCTCCTTCCACTTGACCGCATCCAGCGCAGAGCGGCTCGAATCGTCGACGACCGAGTGCTTTCCGATCGGCTCGATTCACTGGCACTGCGAAGAGATGTTGCATCTCTTTGCATTTTCTTTCGCATATACCATGGAGAGTGCTCTGAGGAATTGTTCGGATTAACCCCAGCCGCCAAATTTCGTGAACGCACTACGCGGCAAACGTCCCGATACCATCCGCACCATCTGGATGCTTGGCGGTCCACCACTGTACGTTTCAAGAGGAGTTTTCTTCCGCGTACAACCTCTCTGTGGAATAGTTTACCACCAGCGATTTTTCCGAACCGATACGACCTGGGGACCTTCAAGAAAAGAGCGTACTCCTTTCTAAAGGGCCGGCAACGCACCTGCAATTCCCCTGGTGTTGCGGTTGATCATGGGCGGCGGTAGTCACTTAACATCAGGTGAGCCGCATGCTCGTTTGCCCCCTCTTCTATAAAAAAAAGAGTAGTGAGTGGTGTGGTTCAGGAGTTATTGAAAATAAAAAAATAGTACAACCCCTTAGAGTAATTTAATATACTCGTGTTGGGGTGTTTCGCTCTTACCCTGGTGCTTCACATTTATCGAGATCGTAACATTTCATTTTCACAGATCAGGTTATTGAGTAGAAGATTGGCGATTCTGTCCTCTAAGAAAGGCAACGACACACTGTTGTCCTACACGTCGTTTTCTCTCATCTCTCCCTCTCTCACACTTTTTCTCTCTATCTCTCTCTAATAATTCCAAATAATATTTAATAATAATAATAATAATAATCTTTATTGCATCCTTAACATTAAATACACACGATAACAACAATAATAAAATTAAGCTTACAGTTAAGTACTACAATTAATATGAAGCTACTGACATCTAAACTAGACAGAGCCTGTATCTTAAATGTCAGGGTCTTCTCCCAAAACATAGTACAAGGATTTAAGTAGAGAACAGTAATGAAATAAATTTAACTGATAAAGATAACAGTTTACTATCAATTTTGCAATATATATATATATATATATATATATATATATATATATATATATATATATATATATATATATATATTGTACAAATATGAAATAAAAATGAACACAAGTAAAAGTACACGTGTGTTTGTGTGCGAGTGTGCGTGTTGATTGATTATGAGATAATGATTTTGACATACATTGATGTATGACAAAAGAAAATTAAATACAGAAATTAGTCCAGGATATTAGGCAATATCATCTGTATATGAAAAATAACGGTCATGTTTTAAGCCCGTAGCTGCAATAAAACTTTGCATGTTATCCGGGACATCTTTATGTAAAAAGCAATGCCATTTACTCAAATAAACACTAGTAAAATAATTTAATTGCCAACTTTGAGTAATTTATCAAAATGTACAAATCCCGTCATTTCTTCGAAATTTCTGTCGATATTACCCCAATATACCCTAATAAAATATATAAAGTATCTGTGAGACGAAAATAAGTAAATACCGCAATACGAATAAAATAATAAAAGCCATTCCTTTATTACAATAACACGTGGCAAAAGGATATAAAATAATTACAGAAATATACATTTACGAAATATCACCAGCTACGGAGAACCGTAGTATTATGTTATTGCAAGCACGTTTTAATTAAAACGGATTATTAAACTTTTAACGGCTGATCCTCCAAAGCTTTCAGATAATTTACTTACCACTGATCCATCATCCTGCGGCGCGTAAACAAAAAGCTTTATTAATTGGGAAAGGTTATATTGCCCACCAAAGGCTCTTAAATTATAAGCATTCAAACGGAGTTGCGATAACATTTTAAAATGGTTATGGTGAGACCGATGTTATTGGTAGAGAGAC